GCCGGACGCTCAACCGACTGAGCCACCCAGGCGCCCCTCTTCTATGTTATCTTCTAAAAGTTTTCTTAGTTCTATGCTTGACATTTGAGTCTGTGGTCCATTTGGCGTTAATTTTTATATAAGCTGCGAGGCTCAGGTTTAGGTTTTATTATCTTTTTTATTTGCCTATTGGCCACCCGGTTGTTCTGGCACAATGTGTTAAAAAGACAAGTCTTACCCTGTTGGATTACTTTTGCTCCTTTGCCAAAAATCAGTTGGCTCGATGCACGTGGGTTTGTCTGTATTCTGCCCCACTGATGAATGTGGTCACCCCTCCACACTGTCCTGATAACTATAGTTATGTAATAAGCTGTAGCATCAGGTAGAGGGAGCCCTCCCACATTATTCTTTTTCAAAACTCTCGTAGCTGTTCTCGTTGCTTTCCATATATATTTTAGAAGAAGCCTGTCCATCTCTAAAAAATAAGAAAAAAACCTGGCTGGAATTTTCACAGGGATTGCGTTAAGCCTATAGTAAGTTTGGGGAGAACTGCCATCTCGTTTTCTGTCTTCCAATTCATGAACGCGGCACGTTTCTTCATTTATTCATGGTTTGTGAGATTTGTATCTAAGTACTTCTTCTCTTCTGAGCAATTATAAATGTTATTCTGTCTTCAATTTCAGGCTCCATGTGTTCATTGCTAGGATATAGAAATACAGTGGGTTTTTGTATGTTGATCTCGTATCCTGTGACCTTGCTGGACTCGTTTGTTAGCTCTGGGAGGCTTTTGTTTGGTTTTGTTTATAAATTCTTTGGGATTTCCTACATAGACCATCACATCATTTGCAGACAGAGACAGTTTTATTTCTTCCTTTGCAATCAGTGTACGTTTTATTTCCCTTTCTTGACTTAATGTTCTGGCTAGGACTTTCAATATGATGTCGAGTAACAGTGACATGAGCTGACATCCTGATCTTGTTTCCAGTCGTAAGGGGAAAATATTCAGTCTTTGACCAATAAGTATAATATTAGCTGTAGGGTTTTTGTAGATGTTCCTCATCAAGTTGAGGGAGTTTCTATCTATTGTTAGATTTTTGAGGTTTTGTTGGTTTTTTTTTTTTTAATCATGAGCGGATGCTGAAGTTTCTCAAATGCTTTTCCTGTATCTACTGATATAATCATATGATTTTTCTTGTTTAGCCTGTTAATATGGTGGGTTACATCAATTAGTTAAAATACTTCCCTAAGACAAACCCCACTTGGTCGTGGTGTAGGAGTTTTTAATACACTGCTGAATTCTATTAGCTGTTATTTTGTTAAGGATTTTTGTGGTCTGTGTTCATGAGGGATATTGGTCTGTAGTTTTCTCTTGTTTTGTACTACCTTTGTCTGTTTTTGGTATCAGAGTAATCTGGCCTCACAAAATGAGCTGGGGCATGTTCCCTGCTCTTCTGTTTTCTGAAAGAGATTGTGTAGAGTTGGTGTTAGTTCTTTTTGGAAGTTTAATGGAATTCTCGTATAAAATCGTCCGGTCCTGGAGACTTCTTTTTCAGGAGCTTTTAAATTGTGAAGGCAATTTCTTTAATACTTACAGGGCTATTTGGGGCGCCTGGGTGGCTCCGTCGGTTAAGCGTCTGACTTCGGCTCAGGTCATGATCTCGCGGTCCGTGAGTTCGAGCCCCGCGTCGGGCTCTGTGCTGAGAGCTCAGAGCCTGGAGCCTGCTTCAGATTCTGTGTCTCCCTCTCTCTGACCCTCCCCCGTTCATGCTCTGTCTCTCTTTGTCTCAAAAATAAATAAACATTTAAAAAAAATACTTATAGGGCTATTAAGATGATCTGTTTCCTACTGGGTGAATTATGGTAGTTTGTGAAACTGTTGATGTCTGTGAGCTCTACGGTGATATCCCTTGTTTCGCTGCTGATATTGGTAATTTGTATCTTTCTCTTTTTTTCTTTCAGTCTTGCCAGAGGTTTGTCAACTTTGTGGATCTTTTCAAAGAGCTAGCTTTTCACTGCCTTGATTTTCTATATCGTTTTCCGGTTTCTGCCCCTATCTTTATTCTTTCCTTCTTTCTGACCAACTCCACCCAGACAGCGTCATGAAGCAAATTGGTGAAAAATACACATGGCATTAGTTCATTGCATTTTCCTGATGTGTATAAATAGTGATTACGTAAGTGTGGAAACTGACATATGTAGAGATTACACGGAAAGACATTCCCTCACAAATAAACTAATGAGATTGATTGGTTTTTCTGGCCTGTGGCTTGTGATGTTACCTGATGGCCATGAATCATTTATGAGAACCAGGTTCTTATTCTAAATTGATTCAGAAACCCTGTGAAGTTCAGTGTGGGGTTTTGACCTCCGCGACCTCGGTAAACTTAATACCTACTTGTTCCTTACTTCTCTAGGCTGCTGACAGAGGCCCTGATCAGGTGTTAAGTGGCTGCTCAACATCAGAAGCCCAGGGTGGCTCTCAGAGTTCCACCATAAATAATTAGGAGTTAGTTGTGATTTGTTTTTAAATTTTTTTAATGCTTATTTATTTTTGAGAGAGAGCGAGAGAGAGTGGAGCAGAGCGGGGGAGGGGCAGAAAGAGAGAGGGGGAGACAAAGACTCCGAAGCAGGCTCCGGGATCTGAGCTGTCAGCACAGAGCCCAACACGGGGCTCGAACCCACGAACCGCCAGATCATGAGCTGAGCTGAAGTCGGATGCTCAACCGACTGAGCCACCCAAGGGCCCCTTGGGAGTTAGTTGTGATTTTTAACCATGGCTAAATTCTCATCTGTCCATAACATAAAAACGAATACAACACAAACCCACAGGCAGGTCGCTGCTTTCCAGAAATCCAGCTTACCTTTCTAAATTGGTAGGTCGTGATTGATATTTTAAAACATAATAGCAAAAATGCTCCAGTGGTTTTCCGTTAATGCACAGACTGCATATTTTTCTTAGTCTCTTGAGCAGGTGTTGTTATTCACAAAGGACATAATTTTGGCAATTAAAAAAAAAAAGTGACCACAGGATTGCTTCAGCAGAGGAGTCTCGTATGTGCCCAGAGCACATTTTGGCGGCATGGTGGCTGTTCTCTTTGGAGCCCCCGCTTCAAGTGACACAGTCCAACGAGCAGTTGCCCTTCACAGCCCAGTGTGCAGGAACACAAACACTCAATGACAAGTAAGGGTAATCCTGTGAGACAGAGAATTTACGATAAAGCTCTTTGCGAGATAACTTGAAGAATAAAGGCAGAGAAAAAGCCCTGAGCTCTTTATGTAATAGCATTTGTAACTGGATTATTTTAAGAGAGTTTAAGGACGCCAGCATGTAATCAAAGGGCAGATTCTGTGAGGTGAGGGAATTGGGCTCCTGGGTCTAAGAGCCTCGGTGTCGCAGCCTTGATTCCACCATTTTTCTTTTCTTTTCTTTTCTTTTCTTTTCTTTTCTTTTCTTTTCTTTTCTTTTCTTTTCTTTTTCTTTTTCTTTTTTTTTCTCTTTTTAGACTATTTTATAACATGTAGTAAATTAGCATTTACGTTCATTTTCAGCTTTGTCTTCTGGCTTTTTGTTTTTCAATATATGAAATTTATTGTCAAATTGGTTTCC